AGGATAGAATTGAAATTGAACATAAAGTTAAGGGTTTTTTATGGGACAAAAAAAGTTTAGGATAAAATTGGGATAAGATCTAAAGTTGGAGGTGTTTTATAAGATAAAAAGTAAAATTGGGATAAAAGCTAAAGTTTGAGATTTTTTAAGGTATTATGCCCTATAAAAAGAGGCAAGAGGACCTTACCAAAAAAAAAAATAGAGGCAAGAGGAATATCCACCGAGAGTTGCTGTCGTCAGGTCAGGCCCACCACTTGCGTCATGGTCGTCGTCCTCCAGGACACGTGGTCAACAGTCAACACCTCCGAGTCGTCAACGTCAAGGGTCTCTGCTCTAAACCATCCAGTCCCACGCGTTAAAACCAACGGCTGTGATAGATCACGTTCTCAAAAGTCTTCCCCCAACGCCATCAACCGCCACTGCCGGGGAAAAGGATAACTGGCCGTTCATCCCGGTACACGCCCGCCGTAGCTTGATGTATTGTCTCCCGCCGTCAACGGCAGTGGCGACGATGGCGACGGATCTGTTGGATATATCGGAGATTGGTTATAACCGACTCTGAGGTCGATGGTAACGATTTTTGGGCAGGAAATTGGGCTAGAAAAGAAAGAAAGAACGTGATCCTGCACATAGAAGGTGTTCGACGAAATCACTAAGAAAGGGAGAGAGAACCAGAGAGCGAGAAAGAGAGAGTCTGAGCTTGAGAGGTGTATTAAGGTTCCAAGGACCGAGCGATCGGCGTTTTTCCGGCGAGAAAAACGCTAGCAAATCAGCTCTGACGATGAACCTCCTCACCTGGAAAACTTGTGTCGAAGCTGGTCATGAAACTCTGAAACTCGAGCTCAGCCGGCGCGTCCAGAGCTTCTCCGACGAAACTGAGTCCAATAGCTTGAAGCTCAGGTGTCAAAGAACGGTGCCACGATTTTTAATTGCCTCGAAAATCTTGTTTTACCCTCCGTTAAAGCAGGTAAAGTTGAGAATTCATCAATATTTTTCCAGAATTCCAGATTGAATAGTTGAACTATACCACGCTAAATCTTGTAGTTTTCTTGGTTGTTGATGTTTGAAACCGTTAACACCTGATTTTTAGCCTATTTTTCAAATTTTCTTAAAAGTCTCAAAATTAGGATTAGGAACCTTGGCCAAGCCCAGGAACCTATTTCTAAATCAAAAATGAATTTTTTAGAATTTTCCTAGATTTTTCCGAAATTTCATTTAGCCAAAATAAGGAATAAAATCAAGAAAAATAGCAAATGGAATCCAAAAATTCCATAAAAATAGCCATTAGTCTTATTTTAAATCCAATTTCATCAATACAGCATCAATTATAGAAAATTTCAATTGGGAATGTGTTTTTCCCAAAATCGGGTAAAATCAAGCCCAAATTGAACCAAAAATTCAATTGAGTCATTTCTAGGCCATAGTGTCTTCACAACAAATGATTCTGGGACCTTGAATTGCATATTGGTCAGTCCAATTACACAATTTGTCAAAGAAATTAAAACGCCCCAAAAATCAATCAAAAATTAGGGATTTTAAGCCCAAATTGGGGATCTTGATCAATTTGAAATTGTCAAGCCAAGAGATTATCATTTCTAGGGTTAATCAGTCATGGTCAATCCAATTTTGGCATCAATTTTGCCTAATCAGGTCATCTAGGTACAGAATTGAACAAAAACCCTAGTCATCTGAATTTAAAATTTGGAAATTTTGGGCTTAATTGTGATAAAAATTAGGACAAATTTCATATTTAGATGCAAAATGAGTTGAGGAATCAAATTTTGGGGTTAAAATTGAAAAAAAAGGGTTAAAATCGGGTCGAATTTGCAAATTTAAACCAACATAGGTCTGTCGGGTCGGGCGGATCGACCCGACCCGACCTGGGTCGGTCTCCTTCTTTACCCGACTCACCCAGAATGCACAAAAACTGAAAAATAGCTTCTCGGCCTGCCTCTTCACCGCCTTACCGGGGCCAAATAAGCAAGTGAAGATCAAGTTTACCAGCTGGAGAATCTCTAGTTGGCATTGGAGATTCGTTATAACTGACTTAGAAGTCGGTTGTAACGATTTTTGGGTGGGAAATTGGGCTAGAAAAGAAAGAAAAAACGTGATCCTGCGCATAGAGGGTGTTCGACAAAATCACTGAGAAAGGGAGAGAGAACCAGAGAGCGAGAAAGAGAGAGTTTGAGCTTGAGAGGTGTGTCGAGGTTCCAAGGACCGAGCGATCGGCGTTTTTCCGGCAAGCAAAATGCCGGCAAATCGGCTTCGACGGTGAACCTCCTCATCCGGAAAACTTGTGCCAAAGCTGGTCGTGAAGCTCTGAAACTCGAGCTCGGCCGACGCGTCCAGAGCTTCTCCGACAAAACTGAGTCCAGTAGCTTGAAGCGTCACGGTTTTTGATTGCCTCGGAAATCTTGTTTTACACTCCGTTGAAGCAGGTAAAGTTCAGACTTCATCACTGTTTTTCCAAAATTCCAGATTGAATAGTTGAACTACACCGTGCTAAATCTTGTAAATTTCTTGGTTGTTGATGTTTGAAACTTGCTTCTGAGCATATTTCTTCTTGTTTGATTGCATTTTGGATTGTAAATGTGCCCTAAACCGAGTCGGCCGACCATTGAACCATCTCGCCGGAGCAGCCCTTACCTCGCCGGAGCGTCCCCGTGGCCATAGGCCGTCCAAGTTAGCTTTTCCTAACCTTCTCTAATGGTTTTGTACGCATTTTCAACGATTTAGACAGTTAGGGTGGACTTTAGCTCAATCTGAAAATCAGTGAAGTTAAGTCCGGATTAGTTTTTAGGTTAGTCTTTTAGGATTGGTTTTTCGCCGGCCGGCGACGGTCCGGCGATGGAACAATGAGCAAAAAATGGAAAGGGGAATACATAGTCTCCATATTGAACCAATCAAAAATGGTAAAAGGTCGCCGGGGGCTCGTCGAAGCTCTGCCTGAACAGGCGGTCTCGACAACTCTAAAATGAAAATGGTGCCCACCAGGTGTTCAGGGAAATGCCCCAATGAAAAACAGCCGAAACGGCGCCGTTTCGGTGTCGTGCCCGTCGGAGCGCCGACCGGCGCTGGTGCCAGCCGGTTTGACTTGGTTGGACCGGTCTGAATCCGGTTCAGCCCGATTCACTTTCTCGGCAAGAAAAATTTTAAAATAAAAATAAAAAATACAGAAAAAATTCTTTAAAAAATTAGAAAAATGTAAAAAATTCGAAAATTCAATAAAATTTCAGAAAATCCAAATTTTTCAGAAATTCGGAAAATCAAAGAAAATCTATAAAAATCAAAAAATTTGAAAAAATCAATAAAAATTAGAAAATTTCTGAAAATTCCATAAAAATCTAAAAAATTCAGAAAATTAAATAAAAAAGTGAAAATTTTATTAAAAAATACAAAAAAATTGAAAAATCTCAAAATCCCATAAAAATTTCCAAAATTTCAAAGAAATTTTTAGAAAAGCAAAAAAAAGGTTCTCGGGAAAAGAAATTCTCTAAAAAGTTTCCAAAAAATAAAAATAAAAAATTCACAGAATGGTTCAGAAACACCGTGGCCAACCTTTGCAAGTGAAATTAGAATTTTTTGAAGTGCCCATATGGCATTTTTAGGAACGCCTTAGTTTAGGAATTAAGAAGGGTTTTTACCCCTAAAACAACACAAATCATTGAATGAACAAGCTTTTAGGGCTTTACTAGGGTTTGTGTGTTTTGGATTGTTCTTGTTTTTAGAGACAAATTAGGATTGCTTTGCTTGATTGAAATTGATTGTGTTGTTAATGATGATTGATTGATTTCCCACAATTAAAATGGCTAGAATTAGTGGATAGACCTCGGAAACTCGTGTGACACGTTAGACACATCGTATTGTTTTAAGTACCGAAAAGGGCGTTAAAGATCTCCATTCGGGATCATTAGCGTAACCAAGTTCCCTTACTCAGAATATCTGGTTCGCAGAATCGTGGTATTTCTCCCGTACCTCGATTAGGTTTCTAGCCAATCTATCAATAATGACTAGTGGCGACTCCAAATCGAAAATTTAGATTGAATAGAAAGATAAAAATTACAACCCGCTGTCACGTGAGGTATGATCTGGGAGAGAACCCCGTTTGTCTAGTGATGGGATGTCTGTGAGACGTCCGGACGAAATATCCGTACTGGACTTTAATAGCCCATTCGGGGACAATTTTCCCATTTGTGACAAATGAAAGTATCTCCTTAGCGTGCCAAAAGCGTGGCGCGACATTCGCTAGTTCTTGAAAATTTCGAAAGCGATTTTTTCTGTAACGGCTTCCGATAGAAATTATGATGACCACGAAAGCTATTACTTTGTAACAATTCTATAATGTTCCTGACCGCAATCGATTTATAAAGGATTTGTGACGATTTTCAATTTAATGCAAGAGTTCATGATGGAAAACGGCTTTCTCATTCTTTTACCTGCAAATTGTTACTCCAGACATTTTTTTTTTGGTCGAAAGCGAAACATTCTTATTAAGTAGTAGAACTTGAAGAACAACATAATTGGGCATCTAAACATAATAAATCCCAAAGGGGTTGGGGGGGGGGGGGGGGAGGAGGGTTTAGAGAGCCAATTAATAGGGAGGGACCCTATTCTATGAGCTTTGGCAATCCAATCGGCACAGTGATTAGCTTCTCTTGGACAAAATTCCACAACAACTCCTTTGAGAAGGGCCAAGACGCCCTTACATTCACTAATTAAGAGACGAGTAGTCCATGGGCTTTGGAATCGACCTAATATGGAGTCAACTGTTGATAAGCTATCACTTTGTAGAACCACTTGCAGATCAAGAGTATCTTCCTACCAATCACTTCTCCTTTCGTTCAAAATCGAATGTGCGCCTAGCTTCCTTTCTTCAGTCAAAAATCGAAGTGCTTCTCGCAGAGCTAGGGTTTAAGTTAACTCGGCCGAATCAGCATGAATTTTCTTTGCGAATCCAATGATCGGCACTCCATGAGTGTCTCGACAGATCCCAGCGATTTTCCGAGGAGCTATTAATCCATAATCCGTCAACATTCATCTTCAAAAGGCCTTTTCTCGGCAGCATCCACCCCATCGGTAAATAACTGCTCTTCCTTGTTAAACTCTTGGGTGTTTGGGACTATAGCACGAAACTCTTTTGCAGGGCGAGGGCTTTGTCCACTATTGTACTTGGATTTGGGTGGCGACCTTGAAAAACATAGGAATTTTGAGCTTTCCATATCAACCAAAGTATACCAGCGATCAATTCTCTCGGAGGTGCGTTAAATCCTACTGTCATAGCCTTAAGAATCCATTTGTCCATTCTTGTGATATTTCTTGGGGATGTGTTGATCTTTATTCTTGAATCAGTCCATATAGCCTCGGTCCACTCGCACAAAATGAATAGACGTTCAACTGTTTCTAGAGCTTGTCGACATAATGGGCAAGTCTGAACAGGTAACTGCTTACGTTTATGCAAATTGTCCTTTATGGGTAGTGCGTTTTAACACACACTTCACAAAAAGAATAGTATTTTAGGAGAAGAACGCAGCTGCCAAATAGTATTCCATAGGACACGGGGAGGCTGATAGGATGATGTAGCTTGTATTGTGTTTGGTACTTTGCTGGTTGACTGAATGATATTGTATCCACTCTTGACCGTGAAGGATCCATCCTTGTTTCCTGTCTAGATAAGCTGGTCCATGCTCGAATTGGAGTATAGAAGGATAGTTAAAATTTCCTATACCATGCGTTCTTCAAAGAGCCCTTTCAACTTTTGTACGTTCCCGACCTTTGCTTCATGATCAATAAGCTCCGTCACCATTTTAGGATCTTCCCTATTCGCTGGGCCACCAATAACACCAGCTGAAAGCCACTTGTCCTCGCGAATATCGATACTCTTCCCATCACCAACCACCCATTTTATATTTTGGCTAATTGCATCTCTCCCCAATATCAAGCTTTGCCACCCCCAAGACGAACGAGAACCTTTACTAGCATTCCAGAAATTAACTTCAAGAAAGTAAATTCCTTTTAGGATCTGACTCCACAGTTGTGACATCCTGAAAAAAATTAGTCCATTTGGGATTTATGAAATACTGGATTTAATGAATGTACTTGTAGTCAGTTCTCGCCCGGAACTGATCATTCCTGGGAATGCTAACCATTAGGGAAAGGCTAATAGGGGAAATTAAATTCGCGCGACTAAAGGTAATTCGATCGTGAATGGATTTCGACCATTAAATCGCGGAAGTGATATTTTGAGCCATTGTTGGCCGATCCAAGGATAGTTAGGGGTCGGTTCGCCACTGTCGTAGTAGTGGATCGCGGGTGATTCTGCTGGACCACGAAATGACTTGACGAATAATCCTGAACCTATACCGAACGATCGTACCCTCGGATCAAGTGATTGATCTTCGCGATTTTAATGACAACCGAGGTCGTCACGTACCGAACGAACTTGCACGCGACTCGATTTAGTATCAGTCATGAGTCGATTCTGTGAATTTCCCCAGCAAGCCGCCCATTAGCTTGAGAAACGCTCAAGTTGCGTTTAATAAAATTTAATTATTGAATTTAGCCCAATTTGGACACCGGAAAATTAGGAAGTCACGACGGAATGTTAGGACGACGTGCAAGAGACACGTGTGATTTTTGGGTGCACTCAAATCCTTCAGAAAAATTCGATTTGAGCAAGAAACGGAGAAAGTGACCAAAATACCCCTAAGAATTATAAAAGGGTATGTTTTAAGGGTAAAGGGCATTTTGGTAATTTTGCCCTAAAATTTTGATTGGACAATTTTACCCTTGGGTTTTTGAGAAATCACAAGAATACCCTTGGATATTTTGGGCAAGATTCGATCTCGGCCATCGGTTTCAGGATAAGATCGAATCTGGATCATCGGATCAAAAAGATTAGAGAAAGGGTATTTTGGTAATTAGCCAAGTTGGTCAAGAAATTTGACTATTTAAGTCAAAATTTCTCTCTCTCCTCACTCATTTTCTCCTCCCCCACGGCAGCCCCTCTCCACCAAATTCTTCCTCTCTCTCCCTCCCGAACTCTCCCCCACCGTGAAGCCCCCATCGCCGGATCGCCGCCGCGCCGTCGCCGCTTGCCTTCGCCACCGCCAAGCCGCACCGCCGTCCCCGCCGTTCGCCGCCGCACTACGTTCTAGCCGCTTTAGTCTAGAACCAAGTAAGTTGTAATCTAAACCTCGCATAGGACGTCGGGTATTTTTTCGGACTCGTTTGGGTGCGGTTTAGGGGATTTAGAGGTTGATTAAGGCGTTGATAATGGTTATTGGTGGCTGAGTATGGCTGTTAGTGGTTGTTGTGGGTTGGATTAGACGTCGGGAAATGAGTTTTGGCGGTTGGAATTCGGTAGAAATCGGTTCGGGTTTGAATCCGTGAGGTTCGGGGTGAATCGCGGATTCGCGGTTACTATACCCGCCCGGTTTGCTATTTTTGTAGAAAATTTTGTGGGCCGAATTTGAGGAAGGTTTCTTCATAAAAGTTGTTCCCAACATCTTGAGGTATAACATACTTTAATTTGGGAATTTTTGGAGATCATTTAAGGCCATTCGGAAGTCCATCTTTGGACCGAAATAAAACTGCCCGATTTACTGTTCACCCAACCTTCGGGTCTGTTCGAATTTTTATAAATTTTTTCAGGCCTATTTTCAAAATAATTCCTTCAAGAGAATTGTTGGGGACATTTTTGGCTATAACATATAAAAATTTCAAGGCTTTTCAAGATGATTTGGGTACCGAATGAGTTGTATTTTGATGGCCTGAGGGACTGTTCGAGCGAATCGGATTTTGTCTGACTTCAAGTGACCAAAAGAGGTGTTTCCAGTTGGAACTGAGTTTTGAATTCTTCATGAAAAATGTTCAACAAGATGTTTTACACAATGTGTCCAAATTTCAGAATTTTCGGAGTTCGTTTACTATTTATTTGGATGTGATTTCGGTCACTGTGTAAACTGCCCAGTTTTTACCCGATTCTTTGGATGTTTGTTTTGATGGGCGGAATGGAGTTGGTGTCGGGATTGAATTGTTGATGCCTCGTGACCAGAATTTAGGCTTGAATGTGTGTTATATGAGGTGATTTGAGGATGAAATGAGGATGTTTCGAGGCTGGAGTGAGATTGATTAGAGTGTCGGATATTGTGGGATGGAATTGGCGAGCTTAGGGCTCGATTTAAAGACAAATGGTGTCGGTTTGGTGTGTGGTAGTATGCCTGGATTGTGGTGTTTAATATGCTCAGAAATGTCAAAATTATGCCTATGAACGTGGCTGTGTTTGTGGGTCCATGAGTGGCCTTGTGTGTTTATTGAACTGTGATTTGATGGATTGAAATGTGTTTGATTATGTGCACGCGTGGGCCAGATTAAATTAATTGTTGAAATTGGCCATGTCGAATGCTGAGTGAGCATGTTTTACGTGTTAATTGATGCGTGCACGGGCCACGTGTGATGGGCCAGTTGGGTGTGGTATATGCATGTCGAGCATGCGCATGAGTAAGAAAGAAATGTGGTGTGGCATGTGATTGTGGAATTTATGTGAAGGTGTGGAATTGCGAATATTGGGATCGGGCCGAGTATCATAAGCTCGGGCAGCGATCACGTAGATCTGTTGCATTTGGCACAGGCTGAGGCTTGAAAAAGCAAGGTTGAGAATCGGTCCGAGGCACGATCAGCTCGGGTGAGACCGGGATCGGACCGAGGCATTATAAGCTCGGGTTTCGATCATGTAGGCCTGTCGCATTTGGTGCGGGCTGAGGAAAGTGTGAATGTGGGATCGGACCGAGGCGTGTGATGCTCGGGGCGCGATCGAGTGTGAATGTGGGATCGGACCGAGGCGTGTGATGCTCGGGGTGCAATCGAGAGGCCTGAGGCGTGTACGGGTACGCGGGCCGAAAGTATGGTGATGAATGGTCGCAGTGTGCCTGAGGCGTGTACTTCAACGCGGGTCACTGGCGAGTGATGTGAAAAAGAGGAAATGAGAACGGAATGAGTATGTGGGATGAGAATGGTACATGCGCATGTTTGCATATGACGTGATGATGACTGAATGCGGGTGTGCGCATGATTTTGCCTGATAATATTATTTGATGTGCCTGCGATGTGATGACTTGATGTGCACGAATGTGCGTATTTGTGTGTTTGTCTGGAGGTACGTGATAGTCTAGGTAGGGTTTAGGTTGTAACTTATTGAGAAGTGTCTCATGGTTGTATAAACCAAACCATTTCAGATAACCCGCCTGCATAAGGAATCAGTCGCCACCGCCGCCGTCAGAACGTTTTGGTACAGTCATGCACCCCGAGGATAATTTCGTGGAGTACTCTCTGAATGGCTGTCGTACCGAGGACGCAAGGACTAGTGAGGAGGCGATGAGCTAGTGCTCGTGTAATACCGTTTTTGGTAGATAGTGTAATTGCCTTTGTTCGGTGTATGGTTTTTTTAAGGTAATCGTAATGGGTGTGCATGTAAAATTTATGGACTCAAAAACATCAGGAAGGTGTAAGTATGTTCATATATGGCAGATGTAAATATGTGTGGAAATGAAATGTTTTAAGTAATGTGGCGGTTGGGCGTGCTTAGTTATTCTGGTGTTCTCCAACTTTTTTGTCCGGGTTTAATTAATTGTTTCCGCTATGATTGACTCTGATGCGAGACCGTTGAGTTGGCGACGTATTCCTGGGATGTCGCATTGTTCGACTCATGAAAGTGAGGTGTGGAAAGCATTAGACTTGAGTCGGGGCGTGACAACAGTGCTGAAGGGGATTGTGCTAGTCTCCAAGCTTGCTTACCCAGCATGGCACTATTAAAATCAACGAGGTTTTTGAAGCCAAGTCCACCATTATCCTTCCTTGTTGTCAATACTTCCCATCTCTTCCAATTAACTCCCGATTTAGAGGCATTTTGTTTCCACCAAAAGGAACCAACTTTCCGTTCGATTGCTTTACAAATAGAAATAGGAATTTTAAATATAGACATGGCATATTGGGGTAGTACTTGAACCACCATTTTGATCAACACCTCTTTGCCAGCTTTCGTCAACTTCTCTTTCCATCCCTCTAACTTCATATTGACTCTCGCTAGGATCCAAGCAAACATTTCTTTCTTTGACCGATCTCAGTTCGAAGGAATTCCTAAATATTCCCAGTCTTCTCGATGATTGGGACTCTCAATTCATTTGCCATGTTACCTTTTAGATTATGGGGACAACCATTGCTGAAGTAAATTCCAGACTTGTTTAGATTAACGGCTTGACCTGAGGCAAAGCAATATTGATTCAACAAATTTGCCATATTTTGACACTCTCTGATAGTACCATCCAAGAAGAAAATCGCATCATCCGTGAACAACAGATGAGAAAGTATAGGGCAATGTCTATTCAATTTTATCCCCTTTAAACTCCCATCCGCAATTGCTTGGGTCAATAAATAGGAAAGCTTGTTCGCCATGATTATGAACAAGTATGGTGATAATGGATCTCCTGGTCGAATGCCTCGGGTTGGGTGGAAGTAAGGCAACAATTTCCCATTAACCTTCACACTAAAAGTAACTGTGGAAATACATTGTTTTACCAAAGAAACCCATCTTTCACAGAATCCCATCCTCAGCATACATGCGCATAAAAAATCCCATTCCACCCGGTCATATGCCTTCTGCATATCCAATTTAAGAAGCGCCTGGAATTTTCTTTTCCTTTTACGTATTCTCAGTTGATGTTAAAACCTCCTGAACTATAAAGATATTATCCTATATTTGCCTATCACTCACAAAGGTACTTTGCTCCGTGGTAATTAGGTCAGGAAGCCAAGGTTTTAGGCGATTCGCCATAACCTTAGAAATAATTTTGTAGCTAAAGTTACAAAGACTTATAAGCCTGAACTGAGAAATACACTTCGGGTTTGAAACTTTAGGAATTAAAGTAATATGAGTTCTATTGAGAGAAGGATTAAGAGTACTCGAAACAA